TTCAACATAATGGTACTTCCTCCAGTTATTTAACAGTCAACAATGGTGTACCACAAGGCTCAGTCTTAGGACCCACCCTCTTTACAATCTACATACATAATGTAGGTAAAAACATCCCTAATGCATCCATACATTTCTATGCTGACGACACAGTTGTTTATTGTCGAGCTAAAACTGTTGCTAAGGCTTTCCAGCTTTTGAAATCTGCATTCAACATCATCCAGACTGATTTGTTTCACCTCAAACTTGTCCTAAATGCCGAAAAAACCAAAGGGATGCTTTTTTCAAATAGGAAGTTGGTCCCAGCAGTTCTTCCTCCGATTTTATCCTCAAATGGTGTCTCCATTGAGTTTGTTGATTCCTATAAATATTTGGGTATCTTGGTCGACTCACATCTCTCTTTTAAGCTTCATGTGAAAAACTTAATAAAGAAACTGAAAGTTAAACTGCGTTTCTTTTTCAGAAACAGATCCTGTCTAACCCTGAATGCTAGAAAACGCCTTGTATCTGTGACTTTCCTTCCCTCCATTGATTACGGTGACATTATTTACATGAACGCTCCTACAAGAACCCTGCAGATGTTGGATGCTGTCTATCATGGTGCACTAAGATTCATAACTGGCTGTGATTATCGTACCCACCACTGCACCCTGTATTCACTGGTTAACTGGACATCATTAACTTCATGCAGACTCTCTCACTGGTACATTTTCATCTTTAAATCACTTCTTGGTCTGTTGCCTTCATACATCTCCTCCTACATGTCTCTGTGTGAGTGCAGCTACAGTGTGCGCTCTCAGGACATTATTACCTGCAGTGTTCCCTCAGTGAGGACTGAACTAGGCAAAAGGGCCTTCTCATACTCTGCTCCTGTTTCCTGGAATATCTTACAAAAAGATCTGAAGCTCTCGACCTTGACCTCTCTAAGTGTCTTTAAGAATCTGTTGGACACCTGGCAGGGTCCAATGCTGACATGTTCCTGTTTTTAGTTTTATACATTCGCCTTAGAATCTAGCTGATTTTTATTTATTTTTTTTTTTGTTACCTTTTCCTTTTAGCCATCCTATTTGTTAAAAAAAACAAAAAAAAACTGTAGTATGCTTTTTTTATAACTGTTTATTGTTGTTGCTGTTGTCCATTCTTGTCATCTTTCTTTGTTGAAATCAGGTCTCTCTTGTAAATGAGTCCTCGAGGCTCATTGGGGATTTACCTGTATAAATAAAGGTTGATTGATAAAGGCCAGATTTGTGCAGTGTACGACTGATTGTTGTCCTATGCACAGACTCTCCCACCTCAGCTGTAGATTTCTGCAGTTCATCCAGAGTGATCATGGGCCTCTTGGCTGCATCTCTGATCAGTCTTCTCCTTGTTCCAGATGAAAGTTTAGAGGGACGGCCGGGTCTTGGTAGATTTGCAGTGGTCTGATACTCCGTCCATTTCAATATGATTGCTTGCACAGTGCTCCTTGGGATGTTTAAAGCTTGGGAAATCTTTTTGTATCCAAATCCAGCTTTAAACTTCTCCACAACAGTATCTTGGACCTGCCTGGTGTGTTCCTTGGTCTTCATGATGCTCTCTGCCCTTTAAACAGAACCCTGAGACTATCACAGAGCAGGTGCATTTATACAGAGACTTGATTACACACAGGTGGATTCTATTTATCATCATCAGTCATTTGGGACAACATTGGATCATTCATAGATCCTCACTGAACTTCTGGAGTGAGTTTGCTGCACTGAAAGTAAAGGGGCCGAATAATACTGCACGCCCCACTTTTCAGTTTTTTATTTGTTAAAAAAGTTTGACACATCCAATAAATTTCATTCCACTTCACGATTGTGTCCCACTTGTTGTTGATTCTTCACAAAAAAATTAAAATTTTATATCTTTATGTTTGAAGCCTGAAATGTTGAAAAGTTTGAAGAAAAAGGTTGAAAAGTTCAAGGGGGCCGGATACTTTCACAAGGCTGAACTCAGCCAAGACCAAAGTAGACTGCTGCCCTCTTAAAACAAAATATAAAATAAATTAAAACAAGATTTAAATAAGACAATATGAACTCATATACAGGTATATGGTTCAAAGTGGATCCACGCCGTCTTTAATCAACTCAAGTCTTCAGATTTTTACAGTAGTTCATGCAGACACCATTTTAATGTTAACATTGCTGACAATTATGTTTTGCATTATTCTGCAGAAATGTTAAATTTGTGCTGGAAGTGCTACAGCTACATGGTGCTGCTATTTGTTTAGAAAAAACAACAACAACAGAATTGTATGTAAATTACTATAAAACACACAAGTTATGGTGGTGTAAAGGTCCATGAAAGAGCGTTTGTGTGGTGGATCATTTTTAAGTAATGGCGGACTAAAGAATTAAACATAACTGTTTTTTTTGGTGCTTTATTAAATCCTATAGCAGGTCACAAGTTCAACACTGCAAAGAGTTAGCTGGAGTTGTGTTAAATGTCAAAACAAAACACTGAAAACATACCTATTTGGGGTGTTTGTGATTAGTGCATATTCTGACCCATGAGCCATTCAACTTCCAGGAAGCACTCATGATCAGCACGTGCATGAACCCAGAGCCAGCTGACTGTTTGACAGTGAGATAGAATAAAACACCCTGAAGAAGGAAACTGTCATGACGTTGCTTTTGTCTTATTCGTTCTTTAGTTTAAACCAGCACTGTACAATGAAAATGTATCCATATCACAGTATCAGTGTGTGCAATATGATTGTTACAAAGGATTTCAAAACACCACAGGCACAAACCGCATGCAAAAAATACTAATTTGTCAGTCAGATAAACGACTCTTATCAAAGCTCACAGCTGGCACATGCAGACTTTGATGTAACACTGCGTTGTTTTTTCACAACTAGTGTTGATGTTCTACAGTCATATCTCAATCACAGGTCTTCCTAACGTTGTGTAGCCGTAGTGTGAATGTATAAATACAGATGATCCTGTCTGTTATCAGTCATTGTAAATACATAGAGTGCAGGTTTTTGTGTCTGCAGGTGTCCAGTCTGGAGCAGCAGCTGGAACGAGCTAGGGTGTCTCTGCAGGACGAAGTGAGGAGCAGGGAGCAGGACACTCAGATGACCTCCAAGAAGCTGCAGGAGATGAAGCAGCAGAACTCAGCACTCTCCCAGTCCCTCCGGTGAGGACATACATTGTTGTGGTGCTTGAATGTTTGTGAACACTGCCATTTTCTATATTTCTGCATAAATATGACCTAAAATATCATCAGATTTTCACACAAGTTCTAAAAGTAGATAAAGAGAACCCAGGTAAATAAATGAGACAAAATAATTATACGTTTATTTATTGAGGAAAATGATCCATCCATCCATCCATCCATTATCTTTACCCGTTTATTCCATTTTGGGTCACGGGGGTCGCCGGTGCCCATGTCCAGCAATCACTGTGCAAGGGGCGGGGTACACCCTGGACAGGTCGCAAGTCCATCACAGGGACACATAGAGACAAACGAGACAAACAACCATTCACTCTCACTCACACCTAGGGACAATTTAGAGTTACCAATCAGCCTAACATGCATGTTTTTGGTCTGTGGGAGGAAACCGGAGCACCTGGAGAAAACCCACGCATGCACGGAGAGAACATGCAAACTCCACCCAGAAAGACCCCTGGACCGGGGTTTGAACCAAGGACCTGCTCGCTGAGAGGCAGCAGCTCTACCAGTTGTGCCACCGTGCTGCTCATGCTAAGTCCATTTTTGAAAAATGACAAAATGTAACTCCTAAAACTGCTAAAACTTGATGCCACTTCGTTTTTATTTTTATTTACAGAAGAAGAAGAAGACATGTCTTCAGAGGTTTTTGTGTCGTTTCTTTCAGTAGTTCTTGGTGCAGCGCCCCCACAGGCGAGCGGGGGAATAGGTTGGTTCAACAGGTTGACTCGACTGCACAGTGCAGTGTGAATGCAAACGCACCAGCTCAAATGTAAACAAAAGCTCATGAATATTGGTCCCGAACCGAGTCTACCGGACTATCTGGTGTGAAAACGACCTTACTTTCTCCAATTATAACACTTTTCATTTAAACCAGAAAGTTCTGTTTTGGTCTCATCCGTCCACAAAACATTCTTCCAACAGTCTTCTGGCTTGTCCACGTGATCTTTATCAAACTGCAGACGAGCAGCCATGTTCTTGATGGAGAGCAGTGACTTCCTCCTTCAATCCTGCCATGAACACCATTGTTGTTCAGAGTTCTCCTGATGGTGGACTCATGAACAGGAACATTAATGTGAGAGAGACCTTTAGTTGTTAGAAGTTACCCTGGGGTCCTTTGTGACCTCACCAACTATTCCACATCTTGCTCATGGAGTGATCTTTGTTGGTCCACCACTCCTGGGGAGGGTAACAGTGGTCTTGAACTTCCTCCTTTTGTCCACAATCTGTCTGTGGATTGGTGGAGTCCAGACTCTTTACAGATGTTCTGTACCATTTTCCAGCCTGATGAGCATCAACAACTCTTTTTCTGAGCTCCTCAGAAATCTCCTTTGTTCCTCCATGATCCACTTCCACAAACATGTTGTGAAGATCAGACTTTGATAGATCCTGTTCTTTAAATCAAACAGGGTGTCCACTCACACCTGATCATCATTCACTGATTGAAAACACCTGACTCTAATTTCACCTTCAAATTAACTGATAATCCTAGAGGTTCACATACTTTTACCATCACAGATATGAAATATTGGATCATTTTCCTCAATAAATAAATGACCAAGTATAATATTTTATCTCATTTGTTTAACTGGGTTCTCTTGATCTACTTTTAGGACTTGTGTGAAAATCTGATGATGTTTTAGATCATATTTATGCAAAAATATAGAAAATTATAAAGACTAAACAAACTTTCAAGCACCAACGTACAGGGTAAACAAGGAAACCAGAACAATGAGCAAGAACAAGGACGCTTTTTATTACAACTTCTCTTTTTATTGATCAGCTCTGTAAAAAAAGATAGTCATGTTGATTTCAATGTAAAAAAAAAAAAGAAAAAAAGAAACAAAATCAAAACAAATATTTTTAAAGAAATGCATATTGCCTTCTGCCGAGATTGCCAGAGTTTTCATGCTCTTTTGACTCTCAAATGGTTCTTCACTTGTGGGTTTTTGCTAACAGACTGCTAATTGTCCCTAGATGTGTGAGAGTGTGAATGGTTGTTTGTCTTTAGTGTCCCTGTGATGGACTGGTGACCTGTCCAGGCTGCAGTGACTGCTGGAGGTAGGGATACGCTCCCCATGACACGGAAAGAAGTGGGTAAAGAAAATGGATGGATGAATGGTTCGTGAGATATTTTGCCAAAAGTCAGACATAGGATAACACAGACAATTATTATATGATCATCAGCCAGTCATGATAGTGGACAAGAAATACCGTATTTCCCTATACGTCACATTTTTTTGCATAATTTACATGCCCTGCGACTTGTAGGCAGAAGCAACATATTTATGGATTTTTCCCATATTTATAAATCATTTTTGGGCTGAAATATGACCGTTTTCATTCATTCTGGCTGAAAACAAAACTTAAGCAGTACCACTTTTTCAGCCACTTGATGGCAGCAGAGTAGTAGTATCAGTATGGCATACTGTTGTATCATGTAATAGGTAAACATGGCTATAATGACAAATTCAATAAAGTTCAAGACAGAAACAACTGGACTGTATTTATTAGACTTCACTTTATATTGTATTGTTTTTTTCTTGAACTTCTTTGAATTTACCATGTCCTGGATGACTGATAATCTTCACCAGCTATTAATGACTCATTCGGCCTGCCATAGTATCCCCACCTTTGTTCTGCTCGTTGCTTGGAACGTCAAACCAGCTGCACCTCCCCGGCGAAATGCAGCTGATTTGACCATCAAAGTACATTTATTAAGCAAATGTTAGACTGAGGGCAGCACGGTGGCGCAACTGGTAGAGCTGCTGCCTCTCAGCGAGCAGGTCCTTGGTTCAAACCCTGGTCCAGGGTCCTTTCTGGGTGGAGTTTGCATGTTCTCTCCGTGCATGCGTGGGTTTTCTCCGGGTACTCCGGTTTCCTCCCACAGTCCAAAAACATGCATGTTAGGCTGATTGGTAACTCTAAATTGTCCCTAGGTGTGAGTGAGAGGGTGAATGGTTGTTTGTGTCGTTTGTCTCTATGTGGCCCTGTGATGGACCTGCGACCCGTCCAGGGTGTACCCCGCCCCTCGCACAGTGATTGCTGGACATGGGCACCAGTGACCCCCGTGACCCAAAATGGAATAAACGGGTAAAGATAATGGATGGATGGATGTTAGACTGAGACACACCTTTGCTATAATTTCAAGTAAACAAATAATTTTGCTATAGTTTTATAGTTAATAGTTTTGCTTTGTTTTGTTTTTTTGAATGTCCAGAGGACCAGATTTAACTTTTTTAGATTTTTCTACCTGGATTATTGAGCATGCATCAGGATAAACAAATAATTGTTTAGGTGCTTTTCTTGTTAAATTTCGGAGAAACAAGCCACATTCCTCCTCCCTTTTTTCTTCCTCTGCGCGTTCACGGAGCACCGAGGCAGCAAAACTATTTTTGAAATTCAGCTGATTTGACAATTAAAGTGCATTTATTAAGCAAATGTTATACTGATACACACATTTACTATAATTTCAAGCAAACAAATAATTGTTTTTAAGTGTTAATCTTGTTAAATTCTTGTTAAAGTCCTCCCGTGCACGCTCCCACAGCTGCCATTTGGCAGCCAATTGAGTTTTGGGACAACACCGGCCCACATTTCTGGGTTGTCAGCGGTGATGCGTAACAAACACGACGCATCAGCAGTGACGCATAATAGATGCGACATATACGGCGAAGCAACATATTTATGGATTTTTCCACTTTATTAGACAAATATGGACTGGTGCGACTTATAGGGCGGAGCGACGTGTACGGCGGAAAATACGGTAATGTAAGGACAGTGTTTCCCCATCGTAATCCAAGGAAGGCGCTCCACCCTGTCAACAGAACGGAGTGCCCTGCATACCACATCCCCACCCCCCACGTTAGACAGCTACTTCGCAACTTCTGGATGGGGAGCGGAGATTATAGCTCAGATCAGACCTTGTTTTTGTACCGTAACTTCACTACAACCTAGAGGTTTCCCGTAGGTTACCTCAAAGGTTATCTGAGTGACATTATCTGCATGTGTTAATCATTCATTTAGGCACTAGTTTATTCTAGACTGGGAAATGTTCGTGGATCATTTAGAAGATTTTATGGGAAATGCAGAATCTATTTGACCTGCATCAAGTAGGTTTACGTATAAGATAAAGGGAAGACAAGTCTGAGATTGTCATCATTGTATGTTCCCATACAATGACATAATTAGTTCTCTGCATTTAACCCATCACAGGTGAGATGCACCCAGGTGGAGCAGTGGGCAGCTATGTAAGCGCCCCGGGGAGCAATTAGGGATTAGGTGTCATGCTCAAGGACACTATGGGGGCATGGTGGGGAGTCGAACCGTGACTTTTTGGTCCTGAGTCGGCTGCCCTACCTCTACACCATCTCGGCCTCCAAAACAATATAGAATTAAAAATAAAACTTTGATGAGGCAGTCCTGTGGTTAGACCACATCATATTTGTCTCCAGGCTGTAAAAGGTGCACCCCCCCCAGTAGATACATGTTTATAAATAAGGACCTGACTGGTTACATGAAACCAATCTTCTGTGTAAGGAAAGTTTAAATCAACAGAGTAAGTAGTTGGATAATTTTAGATTTTTACATTGTTTTTAGATTTTAACTGTTTTATGTTTAAATGTTCTTGATTTTACAAGTACATCACTTTGTTGCAGCTGTGATTCTTTTAAAGTGCTTTATAAATAAAATAGTAGCAGCAGCACCTGTCTCCACCCTCATTTGCCCCACTCTGGGCCCTTGAGCAAGGCCCTTAACCCCCCCATCTGCTCCTCCGGGTGCACTACATGCAGCTCTCTGCTCCACACAGAGGGCTGTGGTAGCTCAGTGTCTGTGGTTGTGTCAGGAAGGACATCCGGTGTAAAAACAATCACCAAGTCTTGGTGCGAGTTAGTTCGCTGTGGCTACCCCTGAAGAAGTAATAATAGTAGTAGTAGTAGATTTTTTTAAAACTTGATTAAAGTATGTAACTCAGATCAGATTTTGTAATATTTTTTGTTTTGGTTGAAATTTGAAGTAAGGAGATGAAAATATAACACACCTTCAGCTTTATGCAGACTTTATTAAAGTCTGTCTTCTTCCAGTTGTTTGTCTTGAACATATTCTTATTGTAGTAAATAGTTTCATGGAAAACGTTGAACATTTGTTCATCTTTACCACATGTTCTGTGTTTTTGGGTGCTGCAGCCATCTGACTTCAGAGATGCAGATGTGTAGGGCTGAGCTGGTTTCCAAGGAGTCAGAGTTGGAGCACCTGAGGAGAGATGTTTCCATGAAGATGGCTCAGATTGGAGACCTGGAGGAGAGCCTGCAGCATGCAAAGAGCCAGCTCATCACCAAGAGTTCACTGGGTACAGCACTCGGTGTCAGTCATGTTTTTGTTTTTCCTCTTAAAGAAGAAACTCTTTTCTCTGTGCTGAATTAGCTTTCAGCAGTAAGTTCACAACAATTTGAAGATTGTGAGATGTTTCTGGGCTGATTTCAGTGACTCTTCATCTCATTATTTTTCTATCCTCAGTTGGAGACCTCGAGGAGAAGCTCCGTCGTTGTGAGACAGATCGGATCAGCTGTGCACAGAAAGTCCAAACCCTGGAGGGACAGTCCCATTTTGTGCAGGCAGAGCTGACTGACACCCTGGAGCGTTTCCAGGAGCTCAAAGACGTCTTGCAGAAAACCCAAACCATCTCTGAAGAGCGGCAAGCACAAGTGGACAAACTGACCGGCCAGCTTAGGTGAGGACAGTCATGAGAGAGATTCTTTAGCACAGAGTTGATAAAAAAACCTCTGCTGCCTCCAAGCTTTCTTCTTCTTCTTCTTCTTCTTCTTCTTCTTCTTCGTTGAGGTTTATTGGCGGTTGGCAAACAACGAATTTGGTGCATTACCGCTACCGACTGGTGAGGAGTGTGGACCAAAATGTTACTCAAGGATTAAATTCTATTAAATAACTGTTAATTTAAGATAACAAAATATTATCTGATAAATGTTACTATTCGAGTTATTTCTGAATAAATCAATTAAATCTAGTTTTACTTAAATTTTATTTAAATCTTTAATCAACTGTTGTCTTTCTTCCTCATACTTTTTGCAGTGTAACATTACATGCTCTACTGTCTCATCTGTTCCACAGTACTCACATTTACCACTGCAGTGTTTCCCTAAAATAAAAAGAGTGCTGTTTAACCCAGTACGCCCAAATCTGAGACGAGAAATAACTCTCTTCTCTCCTCGTCCTTCCTGTACTTCTCATTTCTCCAGTTTTCTTTTGGATTTTATAGAACCAGCGTTCTTTCTTTTCTTCCTCCCATATATTTTGCCATTTATCCTTCATTTTCTGTTTTATTAAAAGTTTTATTTCTGTTTTACTAAAATTAACTACTAAATTCACTGATGGATTTCTAGTGGCTTCCTTTGCATCTTTATCTGCCATTTCATTTCCTGTAACACCATAATGAGCTGGTATCCATAAAAAATGTATCATGAGACCCATCGTATTTATTCTGTATAGTGTTTGTTTAATTTCTATTAAAATATCTGGCCTGCTTTCTGAATGGTTACACTGGTAACTGACTAATGATGAACTGGAGTCTGAACAAATCACTGATCTCAATGGTCTCACTGAATGGCTAATAATATTGCGAGCATTTCCCCTGTGTACACTGAAAGTCCATCTTTACTTCTTTTTCTAACTTTGATGTTGACCTCTGGAACAATGAAGGCTACACCTACTTTATTTAACATGTTCTTGGAAGCATCTGTGTACATTTGAACATAGTTGTAGTATGTATCGATATGGTTCTGTACCGTACTTGAATTTAAAACAGTAGTGAACTAAGCCTCCGGTCAAAACCTGACCCTGAAGACCTTAATGGGACAGGAACTGTTATTTCATTGATTTGAATCCAGAAATACAAATTAGCTCATCCAGAGACTTTCTAATTAATCAATTGAAAGAACACTCTCTTTTTATATTATCATTACTATTTTTACAAATGTCTTGATAATCAAAAGTGTGTTTAGTTCAAACCATTTTAAATGTTGAAGTGAACTACTCATTTTAAATCAACTGTGAAACAGTATTAATGTTTTTTTAATCCTCATTCAAAGTAGAAATCAAGTTAATGTCTGTTACAAAGTAATTATGCATTTTAATCTTCTGTCTGAAATGAGAAGTAGTGATGTCGGTCGGAAGTCAGAAAGAAGTTATTGGAACGAACTGTCATGTTTTTAAACCTCTCAGACAGAAATAAGAAGCTACTGGCACCTGTAGTCTGTCATTTCTCCAAAACATTTCTCTGTCTGTTCCCAAACATCTCACTGTTTTTCTGACTTGTAGTAACCCTCTGACGTCACTAAAACCACACCCCTGTTGGTTCTTTCAACCAATCAGGACTTCCCAAAAGGGACCGGAAGCCGAACTCTTTAAATGTCGACACTTCCTATTTCCAGTTAGTTCTGGGAGCACAGGAGAACAGAAGTTCTGGGAGACATGAACCGAAGTTCCGAAGGAGAACAGAAGTTCCATGGAGAACAGAGAGTTCTGCTGAGAAGGAAGACAGTGCGACTTTGCAAGGGTGAAGTCCACGGTGGTCATTTTCTGAAAGATGACACCTGTCTGGAGTGTTGATTTCAGTCATTACGCCAAAGACCTATTCAACATCTCAGGAGTTCAGCACGTTTGCTGAAATTCCACTTAACTTAATCCTATCTTTCGGGGAAGTTTATTTTGGAAGCTGGGCCAGTCAGCCTCGTCATCCCAAGTTGATGAGACGCGGATAAATCCCTGGAGGTAAAAAGACTCAGCCTTGCTGGACGCCAGGAGAAGACCTCTCTGAAACCCCACCAAGGTAAAGAGTCGACGCTCAGGTACATCTAGCCGAAATCACTGGGAAACGTGCTATCTGGTTTCAAACAAGATAACTCCCCATCTTTTCTTTATTATCTTAGTTAACCCTAAGTATCCACTTTCCCTCCTTAAACTTTACTCCATCTCTTCTATCTCGCCAGTAAAAAGATAAGCTAAGCCTGCAGACATTAATTTAAGACCTAAGGATATGTCTGTTGTCTTTAGTTGCAAGTGAGAAATCATGGCCGTATGATTTCTCATTGTAAAGCTCATTAATTAAGCTGTGTTATTGCATTCAATCAGAATAATCAAGTGTACAATGTTTTGATGATTTTGATTCTGTTAATAAATGACCACATTCATTTTGATGGGTCAAAGAAAATTAACGTCTCATGTCACTGATTAGACCACCTCCGACACAGTACTTCTAAGCACAATATCACTTAGTCCAGAAAAATGAAAGAATCCGTTTAAATTAAGTATAATGTCATGTACTTGAACTAGTCCAGATATTATAAAATGTAAGAGAGCACCCTTGAGCTAAATCCATCTCTCGGCTCTCTCATTACAAAATGAATCCATTATTCTCATTTCTTTTTTTTTTCAATAATGTAAAATCTACCATGGCATCTGGAAGTATCCAAGGTGGTATTACTGGTAATGGAGTTATTTGACTTATATTGATCTGATCTATTTTGAGTTATGTTGTTTTCTTATTCATAGTCCAACCAAAACTTTGGATATCTTTTACTTCTTTTTCCCAGCAAGCTTTAACTGTCTCTTGTGTTGGATGATCCTGTCCATGACCTCTCAGATTAGCCCAGTAATTTAGAGTTAGTTGTTCTCTTCTAATTTTGAGTGGTATTTCTCCCATTTCTACCAGTAGTGATGATGTTGGGGTAGATCTCATTGCACCTGTACACAGTCTCAATGCTTGATATTGAATACGGTCTAACTTTTGTAAAGTTGTATCTGCTGCTGAATTATAAACAATGCTTCCATAGTCTAGTACTGATCGAATTAAACCTGTGTATATATCCTTAAGTGCTTTCCTATCTGCCCCCCAGTCACTTCCAGTTAAACACCTCATGATATTTAACACCTTCTTGCATTTATCTAAAACTTTCTGTATGTGTATATTCCATGTAATCCTCTCATCAAACCAGACCCCAAGAAATTTTAACTGCTTCACTTTTTCTAGTTCTTGGTTATATGACTTTAGTTTAATATCATCTCCAATTTTTTTCCTTGTAAACAACATTGTCTTAGTCTTTTCTTCCAAAAATCTAAATCCCCACTTGTATGACCATTTTTCAACTTTAGAAATAGCTTCTTGCATTTTTCTAGTAATAAACTCTAAGTTCCTTCCCCTCTTCCACATTGCTCCGTCATCAGCAAAAAGAGAAAAACCCATCCCAGTATCTACAGTTTGAAACACATCATTTATCATTATTGTAAACAATAAAGGACTTATTATACACCCTTGTGGAGTTCCGTTTTCGACAATGTGTTTTTCAGAATAATGGTTTCCTATCCTTACTTGTATTTGTCTCCTGGTAAGAAAATCTTTTATCCATCTGTACATCCGTCCTGTAATGCCTATATTTCTAATTTTAATTAATAAACCTTCTTTCCACATCATATATGCTTTTTCAATATCAAAAAAACACTGCTACAATACTCTCTTTTCTAACTTGGGCCTTTCTGATTTCAAATTCCAAACTTAAAGCTGAATCCATGGTGTTTCTACCTCTCCTAAAACCACTTTGATATTGTGACATATATCCTTTTGATTCTATATAGTAAATCAACCTGTCATTAATCATTCTCCATTATTTTGCATATATTAGACGTTAATGCAATCGGTCTATAATGTTCTGGGTTTGTGTCATCTTTTCCTGGCTTTTGTATTGGTATTATCACTGCTTCTTTCCATCCCTGTGGTAATTTTCCATTCTCCCAAACTTTATTATGTTAGGATTTGTGGTCAGGAGCGAACCCAGAGTGCAGAACAGGGACTCAACTCGGCAGGATTACAAAAATAGGATTTTAATGGTAAATGAAAGTACAAAATAACAAGCTGACGGGGCAGCAAAACTTACATGAGCATAGGAAGGAGGCACGGGAAACTCAGGAGACACGAGAGACACGGGGAACTCGAGGAACCAGGAAGACTCAGGGGAAGACTCAGGAGACCCAACGAAGACGACACGACGATGAACAAGACAGAACAGACGGCTTATATACAGAGACAAGACGAGACATAATTGCAGACAGCTGGGACGAGACACGGGTGGTAACAATGGAAACTAATGAGGGAGCACGAGGGAAACTGACACAAACCGGGCCACAGAAAAGTACCATCCTTACATATTATAAAGATCCAATAAAATGTCTTTAGAGGATTCACAAAGATGTTTCACCATTAAATAACAAATCTGATCTTTCCCAGGTGTTGTTAGCTTAAATTTTTGTAGGGCTCGATTTAGTTCAGATTTTGTAAAAGGAACATTTAATAAATCATTTCCATCCTCTACACGCTCCAATATCTCTCTATTCTCTATCATTGTCATTTCTTTTCCCCTTTTCCCTTCCAAAGTAATATTATCTGAACTATGTATTTTAGTAAATGTTTTAACCATCAGATCTGCCTTTTCTTCATCTTTTAATGCTGTAATTTGACCATTGCTTAATACCGGATAACCATATCCTCTTTTAATTCCATTCATTCTTCTTATCATTGTCCATACTTTATTAATCCCAGTTTCTCTTCCTACTGAATTACAGAAATGCCTCCAATAATCCCTTTTTGCACTTTTAATAGTTCTTCTTACAATGGCTTGACATCTCTTGTATTCAATAAGATTTTGGTAGCTGTGATTCCTTTTT